TTATAAACATACTAGGTGTCATGTGCGCATTTTCAGGCATTAGTAGTGCCTTCATGTTGATAAATGTCATCCCGGTTATGCTGCGAAGTGGAATCATAAGGATTGAGAGTTTTCCAGCACAGGCAGGCTGTGCATTAACAGAGCAAACAGCAACAGTTTGCCTTTGGACTTAGTTGTAAATGTTTAGGAACAACTGCAAAGAACCAAGCAAAGCTTACGCAGCGAAGTATACCGAAGGCAATAAATATACTTAATGGGCCAAGAATTCTCGATTTTAATAGGCTGTCTCTGTGAAGACTGAAGTCCCATCCAGCCACAATTCCCCAAATGGTCGCCACCAAACACTGCAACCAGGACTACGCCTGCACAGCATCCGGCACATGCAACCTGGGAACATATGCTGGGCATGGAATGACTGCTGCAGATGAGGCCCTTTGGGGGGTTCAGCGTCAAGATGCGTCAAGCCTGAGGGTTGTTGGAAGGGAGTACATTATAGTTGGCCGTTGCAGTTACTGCAATGGCCTTCTGCAAGCGGTCCTGGTGCCCAATGGCGCCCACCTCTAGGATTTTGATATGACTCCTTCAGAAGCCCTGATGCAGGTGCTGCTGATTGTTGACGGCGGCACTTGCGGCATCAGCGATGGCGACCCCGACCTCTCAATGGCACGGTCCTCACTCCAAGAGTTCTCCATTGGCTATTCGCAATCTCTGAGATCTTCAAAGCGTCTACGCGTCTAAAGCCGGGGAATGACAAACATGCTAATGCCACTTGGTAGATGATGCAAGCATGGAGGAGCATGAATGAACAATTCGTTGTTGCCCGTAGCAGTGTCCAGCGTTGCTGTTGGCACGGATGTTGCCCGAAGACGAGGGTTTCCGCCCGAAGACGTGGAGACGTGACGATGCCGATTTCAGCCGCACAGCCGCGGCGGCATAACACCCCTGGTAAGCATGGGTCAGCGGCGGCAACGGTGTCGGCAACGGCAATCACGGCGTCAGCGGCCTCAACCGCTCCAGAGAATACGCGACGTCAACCGAAATCACGAATGGCCGAATGGCGTCACTTTCACCGTTTGCCGCGACCTCACGGCATCCGCGGCACCTGACTCATCGTGACACCAAGGATGGAGGTGCAGGGGTGGTGGTGGGCACCGTCCAGACCTTCGACCGTGGAGGCCGCTGGAGGCACCCCACCCCCGTGCACTCGAAGTTGGTGTGTTGGAGCATGTTGGAGGGCTGAGGAGTTGTGAGATGTTGCGAGAGTTGCTGCTGAGACGGCCTTGTAGGCGGTGAGGGTGCGCAACTTCTTAGGGGAATGAGACCGCGTAATCAAGCACTCAGGGCTCTTGCTCTCAGGGTTTCCATGCACGAAGAGCTGCCTTTTCCCGGCTGAAAAGGAGCTTTCACTGTTTGACTTACGAAGTTTTCGCACCCACATTGCTCTGAGAATCCAGCCCGCAGGATATGCTACTGCCCTTCCGCAGACAGCACCTGCAGCGCGTACCAGAACTACAGCGCTACAGCAGGACGGCTGGAGGCACCAGAGACCAGGGTTTGATCGAAGGCATGGTGTGAGAAAGTTTGAGGACGATTGGGAAAATTGGGACACTTTGGGACCTGGGATCAATTCTTGGGTGACGAAGTTGAACCGCTCCCTGGACTGTGCCATGCAGTAGCACAACCTGCATGTGGAGGTGTCGGGCCCGACGCCGTTGCCGCAGGACCGGGGTCGTGGCACAGCCTGAACACAGCCTCGTTTTGATGCGTGCCGCCTCAGAGTCTGAAGCCGCAGGATAAGACCTGCTATGCTGGGGAGAACTGCCCCGTCTCAATCCTGGGAGTCGGACTGTGGCTTGGCCTTTCTCGGATTCCCTTTGCATTTGCAAGTGGTAACCTGAATGAAGGACAGTGCTCTTGGTGGACAAAGTTCCCATGAAGAAATGTGATTTCGATCTCAGGCTGGCTGCAGACGAGATTGCGGTCCTCTCCAGCACTTCCGATGTCTGTGGCGCTTCCTGGGATATCAATGGAAGAATACTTGGTGAGGGTTTGCATCGGTTTGAGTTTTTGCCGACAATGCCGTCCTCCTTTGAACGTTGAACGACTTGAAGATGTGAACGCCACGTTGAGTACTGAGTACTGTCTGTGAGTCGTAGGAGAGGAAGCGTATTCAATGGCCTTCTCTTGCTCGGCTCCTTAAGCCGAGGTTGCCACGCCCATGAGCCAAGTGGTGCTGGGCTCCAGCTTCACACCAACACTGCTGGCCAGGGTCTGAAATCACAGGTCTCGTGTATTCCGATTATACTCGAAGTGGTCCTACTTGGGTAAGCAGCTAGCTCAACCCAGGGCCCATAGCAGACGCGCTGCAGTTGTGCCCTCGTGACTAAAGATCTGAGCTTTTCGAGCTCGAAGGTGGCCACTGCCAGCAGCTACAAGCTCTGCTTCTGTGCCAGCGCTTCAGGCAGCTGTGCGGTCAACTCTGGCTTCGGGGTGGCTTGGTGCATGTCGTCCTGCCAGGGTACCAGGTGGCCCAGGTCGGCAGTTCAACGGATGCCGTTTCCGAGGTGACGCTCGGCACTTTGACGGTCAGCAGTGTCCCAACTACACCGACTGGGGCTGCTTCTCGACACAGAAAAGGGAAAGAACATGTGGCATGAGTGGATCTGTTCACAAGCAGAAGAACACAGCAGAAGACAGGGGTCTTGGAAGTCCGTTAATGAGAAGCCGAGCGCCCCCTGAGGCGTTTGCTTGCCACGCAGGGGTGGACTGCAGTTTGCTGATTTACGCCTCAGGCCCCGGCTTCGCAGGCTCGGATGATAGGAGACCCTCCAATCCCTCCAATTGGCCTTCCGATGGCAAGAAGGACGAATAAAGTGATGACATGTGATAAATGCTCAGAGAGATTCAGAAAGTATCAGTGTTTCCATCGATCCCGAACCCAGCGTTTAGGTGCGTTGGCTGCCCGACATGCTTGCCTTCTCGACTCTCGTTTTTGTTTCAGGAACTGATGTTGTCCACCTCATCTCCACCGGAAGCTGCGGTGTCACTGCTGCTGTGGGTGGGCTGTCCTACACCGCCACGGGCTCTTTACCAGTGCTGACATTTGCTCTGGGCAAGATTGCGCAAGGAACGTACACAGTTTGCCACTGTCCCAGTGTCGATGGCGCGGATGTAGACTCCACGGCCTGTAGCAGCGCAGATGAGTTCAGCAACGACGCCGGGCAGCTGAATGTGGAAGGGGTGCCTTGGATTTGGGAGCATTCGGGGTCGGGGCCGGAGATGGCCAGAGGGTATAGTGAGTGTATACATCTTCTATGCATACGCTTCACATATCACATGCTAGCAAACTCAGTGTTCAAACTGTGGCCATCGGCCATCAGATTGCTGTGGCCGCGGCTTGACAAGGTGACTTCGCTGGGAGCCTTGGAATGCTTGGCTGGGCAAAGCTGCAGCCTTGGCCCGTGGACGGCTGCGCAAAGCAGCCAGCGCGTCATCTTTATTTCGGACACAAGTGGTACAGGCCGGAGTTCCTGCAGATCTTGCAGGCTTTGTGGCCTTAGCAGGCTTTGTGGCGTAGTAGATGAATGTGCCAGATTTTTATTGGTCGTGAATTCGGTCAAGCTTTGCTGTGCTGCAGTGTCCCGGTGTAAGAACAAGCCTGGAGTATTCCGCCAGTCGCAGGCTGCAGCAGCGTGGCCTTAGATTCGGAGTCTTGGCCGCAAGGAAAGGCGATATTTATGCAGGTTTTCGCAGCACCTTTAATAGCTTCCAACTGGTGCTGCCATGAAATCAACGCGCGTTAAGCACGCGCACTGTCGCGACGTATTTACATATGTCCCGACATATTCATGACATCGTCCGAAGAAGACTACTATCCTATCTGTACATATGGTTCACTTCCTTCCTTTTAGTTAAGCAGCTTCGCTCTTGAAGACTCGCTTTCTCGATGCAATGTGCGGACGCAGTTTGCACAGGCTCACGTTATAGGAAGCAGTCCCTAGTGCATCATGTTGCTCGACGCAAAGCCTTGAAACAACACCTGCTGAGACCGCAGACGCCCGGGATGCTGCTGGACAGGCTTCATTTTGCACCGACCAGATGTGGGAAGCAGCTGCTGTGCATACCTGCCACTTACGTCGTCCAAAGTCATCCTGTGCCTCGGAGATGCTTGGCATCGGCCAGGCTTCTCCACGGGTTTCGCAGGCGGGTGTCAAGGCGGTGGGTCCGGGAGGCATGCTCGAGCTGACGCAGGCACCCAACTGACTCCGTGCTTTGTGCAGTCATCTCCACACGCCATCTTCATACAGACAAACAGGCCGATGTTCCCTATGGGGGCCAGTGGCAGCTGCTTGGAGGATGTTCAGCCGTACAAGTGTACACTCCGATAAAATGGGAGCTTTCATCTTGCATTGCTCAGGTTGTGCCTTTGCCCCACATACGACGGTACAGATGCAGATGGAGAGGCGTGCAGTTCCACAGAAGTTACTTGATCGCAGCTGAGACTTTGCAAAGGAGAAAGCCCTGTTGCTGGAACCATGGCGCTCAGGAATTCACTGTGTCGGCTGGCATTCTGACAGTCGTGGGCCCCTTTGCCCCTTTGATGAAAGCTTCCTGGAGTTTCTTGGGGGCCAGGTTTGCCACTACCTTTGATCATCATCTGGCATTGGAGGTGCAGGACCGGGTCTGTGTGGCCGGCTCCTACTGTGTCCTCGGGGGGAGCCTCGGCGGTGGCTTCATCGGCCAGGGGCTGTCGGCGAACGACAAGCTCGCGCTGGTGCCGTTCGGAGGCCGGATACGTCTGAGCCGCAGTGGGTCATAAGATCTCAGAAGTACTTCTAGCCTCTTATAGCTTCAAAAACGACTTAGACTGGGGCAAGCAGCTCTTACCTTGAGGAACTTGTGGCCACTCAGACCACGACGCGGACCAGTTTGGCTCGGGATACCTTGCGCTTAGAGCCACGGCTGAGGAGCAAGGTACGTACAGAGAGAGAGAGGGAGAGATGGTATACCTTCATCTTAACCGAGGCTTGGATGGCTCCAGCTACATCCACAATATTTCGGCAGGCACAAGCACTGGTCTGGGCATCATGTCCTGGACAAATTGCAGTGCACGATGTTCATGGCCATGGGCACTGCTGGCACAGACTGAGAGATTACACCTTCCGTGCATCGGAATTTGGGATGTGGCTGCTGCGTTGCCTTCTTTGCAGGTGTGCTTAGCAAGGGCGGGCGCTGGTACGTGTGCTACTGCGCTGCTGGATCCGTGGGCGCAGGCTTCATCGGGTTTGGTTGCCAACCCGCAGCATCCCGCAGTTGCAGCGAAATCCCAAAATCGCCCCATTCGAATGAGCATAAGCCAGAGTGAGCCTCCACACCTGGGCGTGGCAGGCCATTGCACAGACACCGTTCACTTCGGCGCATTGGCCGGCTACCTGCAAGTCAATGGACCGACGTCGAATACGCAGGACCAGCATGGCTGAGGGTTTAAGTCTGGCTTCGGCATGAGTGGCGTTAAGAAAAGAGTAGACCCACCCTGTTGCATTGCGGAGGGACTGGTGCACACGCGATGTGTGGAGGATAGAACATGCACGGCGGGCTTCGCCTGCACCATCCAGGTGACCGGAGAGAGCTTGCAGGCACAGACTTCGTTGCCCCAACCGGCCCCAACAAGCCCCAGGCTGAATGCCGCAATTTGCGCATCCTGTGGCGAGGCAGGCACCGACCTTGCCATCCTGGTGCCCGTGTCGAGTGCTTTGGGATTCATTAGCGCTTGCATCACGCATGCGTTGCACTTTGCATCTTGCTTGCCGCATTTTGCCACGAGGGTATACGAGAGGCCCACGGTAGACTGCTCTGCGAGCTCTGCGACACGTTCTGAATCCCGTATCTGAGCACTTCCTTGCATGTTGATGTTGGTGTTGTGGTTGGTTTCCTTATCCAACTAGCCGCCCTTGAGTGTTGTTCAGGTTTAGTTAATATGCTCATATTTTAGGCTTGCTGCATGAGGTGCCTGTGGGAGCAGCCGGGACACAGCCATGCTGGGTGGCGGCACGATGTCCGTCCAAAGTGGGGGTGTGACTCGACCTCTGTGAAGTTGAGATATGCACAGAAACATACAGCGCAAATCAGGCTTTCAAGGGCCCGCAGCTCCAGCAGGATGTAGCAGACATTGCGGCATATTGTGGCGCTCAGGTTCTGTCGCTGTCTGCGGCGGATTTGCCCATGGGCGGGCAGTGGCTGATCTGCTCCTTGGCCATGTCATGGAGGCTCCTTGCGAGTGCTTGGCACAGCTAAGATCAGGTTTGCGCTTTGTTTTGTGTTGATGGCTGGGAAGGTGTGGCCTTGAGATGATTCGTCGTGCCGTGCCATCTCCAAGGCTACTGTGCCACCTTGTCGGCGAGCTGCCCAGATGATGCCTCCTTCTCTGCCTTGGTGGGGGTGCTGTCCGTGAAGGGCCCTTCCTCGACCTCGCAAGACAGGCCCGCAGAACTTTCACGAGTGACAGCTGGTCGAGATCCGTACCGGTGACCTTGTCAGGTCTTGCATGGCCGGCCGGCCCTGTAACCCGGACTGCGTTCAGGTTTGAAGGCTTGGGTTGTCGCAGGTGGCAGTGTCTCTTCTTTGAAGGTGCAGACACTTATGTGATATTGGTAAGACAGGCCATGGCTGGTGCTTTGAGAGCATGGGTGCTTTCTGTTGCGGACCAGAATCACGTCATGATTGCACGGTGGAAATTCCGAAGTGCGGTCTCCTGAAACAGGGGAGTGCCCAGGCAACTTCACTGCCTCGGGCTATGACCTCTCAGCCCTTGACCGGCTCCGGGCTGTGGCACCTGAGCTGTCTAGGGACTAAGCAGGCTAAATATGACTGGTGCATGGCTTCTGCTTCAACTTTTGCACAGCTGAGGCAAACACCTCGGCCTGTGGAGTAGCAGCTGCCTCTGGGATCTTCCAGGGGCAGGACCGGGGAGTTTCTGACTATTTCCTCAGGTGCTGGGAGAATTCTCACTGAGACCACAAATTGTCTCTACCGCATGCCTCAGCAAGATGCTTCACAATGGCTGCAGGGGGCAGACTATGGCGAATTCGGGTACATGCTTATCCAGTGACCGGCAAAACGAAAGCCCAAAAAAAGGAAACGAGCAAAAAACTTGTTTGTAGACATCCTTTTCTGGGCCTTTTGGGGCATATTCGCAGCAACTGGCCCGTGTATTCGCATGAATGGTGGTACTCAAGCCGTCCAGGACAAAGCCATGGACTTCCAGGCTTCAAATTTGGCACAGTTGGAGCTGTCCTCCGCGCAGCTGCCGACGGCCCCTCGCTGCATTTGCGGGGGAATTTGGCTTTGGCCGGAGATTGACGGGATAGTTCCGGGCTCGTCTGCCATGTTTGGTTGAGATACCCCTCGATTTTGCTTGACGTTTTTGGGCAGGGTGGCCAGTGGAAGCTTTGCTACTGCACGGGCTATGCCGGCGGCTGCGCCTTGACCCTTTGGAGGTTAAGTTTTTGAAGGCTGTCCAAGTGCAAAGTTTGGACAAACGCATCTGTCAATCCGGGGCTGAGGCGACGAAGATGACGAGTTTAGCGTGAAGTTGGGCTTTCTGACCGTCTACGGACCCAACTCCAACAGCCAGGTTGCCTGCACTGCAGGCCAGACTTGCACCATCCAGCTGGTTGGCTACATTGCAGCCGGCGACAAGATGGCGTTCATGCCTAACAACTGCGGAATCGATGCGAAAGATCCCTCTGTAGGGGGAGATGTGTACCATCCATTGGTGTATTCCTCGGGTACTTCGACTTGGGATGTGAGCTTGGCCGGCGGAGAAGGTGGAGCCACGGAGCGTGGAGGAATATGGCACATGTGCTACTGTGCCTCAAGCGATGGGACGGCGTGCGACATGGCTGGAGACTATGCCGCCAGTGCTGGGACCCTCACTCTTTATGGTCCGCTGCCCAATCAGGACCCCCCAAGATTTGCCATGTTCATCGGGTCTCGTTGCTTAATTTTATCGCGAACGCGAGGCCGCCTAAACAAGGGGACCGAGGCGGCAGGAAGGGGTAGTGGGGGTGAGGGGGTGCCCGTCGCGCAAGCGGGGTGGGTTTTTTGGGGGTTGGGGGGGGTGGGGGGGGGTGGAGGGGCAGGGAAGGGGGGGCAAGGGGAAGGGGGGGGAAGGGGGTAAAGGGGGGGTAGCCTCAGGCATGTGTCGAACAACAAGCAAGCGCTCGCACTCTCACGGTTCGGTTTGAGGTGTAAAGTTGAAAGCTTTGGGGGGGCTCCGAGATTTCGTCTCGCGCCGTGTCAGAAGGTGGGGGCGGGGGGGGGGGGGGGGGGGGGGGGGGGGGGGGGGGGGGGGGGGTGGGTAGCCCAGCCCAGCCCAGCCCAAGCAGCCCAACCAGCCCCTCCAACCGGTAAGGGGAGCCAACGTAGCCTCCAAGCCCAGCCCAGCCCAGCCCGGGTAGGGGGTGCCTAGTGGTTCCCTACCTAGACTTGGAGTTAAACGCCTCAAACCTCCGGTTTCGGCGGATTACAAACATGAACAAGCGATGTCGTAGTTCTTGGCATATCTTGCATTTCTCAGGACCAGCGCTGCTCTGCCGGCCAGGCCAGAACGTCACCACGTCGTAGAGAAAGTTAGCTTGAATGTAGTGACTAAAGGATATGCGGACTGAGGCGTGGCAAGGCACTGTTAGGCGCCTCGATTCATTGGGAGGACTGCCGGTTGCGCTTCGTTGGGCAGCGGCTCACCAGCTTCGACCGGTTGGCGCTGGTGGCAGAGGTCCCGACAAGAGCAAAAGTCAGACTCGTCAAGCCATAAAGGGATCTTCAGGAATTTTGGTCCAAATCATTCGCAGCTGCAGCGAGAAAGAAAAATCATCGGCTTTGAGGCCGGCAGCTGCGGGTCCACGTCGCCGGACACCTCAGTGGCGTCAGGCGGCTTTGTGCTACTTTGTGCTGCCACGTGTGGTTCCAGTCACTGCGTAGCACTCTTGAAACACAATGCGGAAGCGTGTTCTGAGAAAGCCTGCCGTGATACGCTTTGTTTCTGGCAGCTGTTTTGGCGCAGCCCGTGATGCACTTGCAAGGCAACGACAGTTCTTTATCAGCAAGTTCAATTCGTGCAGGTGGTGTGACATGTAGTGGTGTCTGAGACACTTGTATTTCGTTGAGTTGAAACAACGCTGCTAAATGGCGAGACTTGACACCATTTGACACCACATGGCATGGAAGCACAAGTATCTTTCAGTTGCATGGCATTTGCGTTGCTCCCCTGCCATGTCTGACACGCCTGATTTGGAGAGCTACTGGCGACACCACGCAGACATGTTTGCCGAAAAGAGCGGCGACCGCCAGAACGTCATGCAGTACCACCTCAAGTTTGTGGAGGTGGGCGTGACCTTCATTGTTGTGATGTAGTGCTGAAAAGACTGAAAGAACATCATGTTCGGTACGCCCCATGAAGCAGTGACTTCCATGATTTGTTCGTGTCGAGGCGGCGTCTCCAGTGTCGGCTGCGAAGCAGCGAATGAATGCCACCCGAGCGATCTGCCACGTGTGCAGTTGGGTGGTGAAACTGGTGCCTTGGCCTCTCGTCAGAGCTTGCCTTTCCCACTGTTGTTAAATTTGTATTTGCCAACCTTGCTTCTCCTTCCATTTGAATTGGCTCAGGGGCTGCCTGAACTTTGCCGGTGTTACGGTGACGCGTCACCTATTGCGCTGCTAACAAAGATGCTGCACTACCCTTCAGCCCAGCATAGCGACGTGCGCCTGACTGCTAGCCTGGCTGCTGTGCAGAGCCGTGTTGAAAGCTGGTGTCAGCAAGCAGAGGTGGTCTGCGGCAACTTGCTCTTTGAAATTCTTGCATGATTTAGTAAAGCCGGACATTTTCCCTTGAGAGCGCAAAACGGAATAACCGAACCCAGCAACTCCCAGAAGTGCAGAGCCACTCCTTCTGCCTCAGGTGAGGCCTTCGAGAGCCTGGAGATGCTGTGGTGTTCGTTACAATCGTTGCAGGCAAGAAGAGGGGATGGCATTCATGGGATGGATTCCATGGACCTCAGTGAGGAGCGGTTGCAGGCCGAGGAATTCCAGCGCTGTGTGAACCAGTGGCACAACACGGCGGCAGATCAGCGCAAGGCCAAGGTCTCTTCTTGGGCATCGCAACTCCAGGGCTTCAAAAACGATGCCCCGGAGAGCTTGCGAAGCTTGCGAAGCTTGATCTTGCAGCTTGCGGCGGCCTTGTCACCTCCACGTGTTGCCGGGTCGGAATGGCAGTCCCAAAACGGCCAAGATGATGTTGAAGCACCCAGCCGAGCGTTCCAAGTTGACCAGAAAGCCATTAAGAAGACCTTGCTGGAGGCTCTGGCTCTATGGCGCTCCTTTGACCTGGAAGATTCTGAGATCGAACCTGTGCGTAACAGGGTGGAATACCTCGTGCAGAAGTTCGAGGAATGCCATGCGAGCATAGACTGTGCGGCGTCGTGCAGCCTATGGAGGCGCCTGAAGGAAGCTTGTGGTGCACAGGCCGACCCAACGTCGTCGAATGCCATGAGCAAACGGCACAGGTCAGGCAAGAGGTCAACAGTCAAGGAGACGTACAGTCCAGGAGAGAACCGTGCCAAGCTCAAGACCATTGTACACAAACCTTCGGAGCCAAAGGTGTTGCGATGCGATCGTTGTTCCTATGAGCTTGTCTCTTGCTGGTACTTCGTGCACCCAACAAAACACAGCACTTCTGTTCTCGTACCCAACAACGGGCACACATCGTGCAGGGGGGTGAGCAGGGCAGGCGGCAGGCCCAGTGGTGCGTTCTTCAGGCCCATCGATGGCTCGCCGTACAAGGCGGATTGTTCCCAAGGACTTGACTACTGCATACACAATCGTGTGCGGGCTATTTGCGCTCCTTGTGGTGGGGTGAATGTTTGCCGGCATCGCATGCCCAAGTGGCAATGCTCGAAGTGCAAGCTTACCATCCGAAAGCGAATCAAGAAGGTGACCCAAGTCTAGACGCGGAGGATAGCTTTCGTCTAAATGGTGCAGCGCTCGCGTTGCTCGCAAAGGGCCTCGACCCAGCCCGGCGTTCTGTGAAGATTGTGCTGCTGTCTACTGGGCTACTTCGGTGGGCTGTGTGCATTCACTGCTGCATGCCACATGCACCTGCTGAGTTTGACGTGGACGTCTCGAAAGCTCTGATGGAGTCGACGACGATGCGAACCTGGCTATGTGGAAGGCTGAGGGCACCAAACGGTGCGCGGAGCCTTTTTCGTGCAGAGTGCAAGGATTGTGAAAGGCGGCATTGTCATGGAACAGAAACGAAGCAGTTTCACCTACCGACCAGCGGACACGTATAGCTCAACACTCCCAGTGTTGAATTGAGTTGACGCGAGAGTGAGATAGTCCAAATCCGAGCACACCTTAACAGATCGCAACAGAAGCCTGTGAACTCCACTTGGGCAGGAACATTCTTGACACTCACTGCAGACCTGGCGGACCTGACCGTGAGCCTGGCCGGCTCTGACATCCCTCAGGGAGGGAGGCTGGGTGCTTCAGCGTTGCACCAGGTTGCAGCGTCGCGGGCTTGGATCTAACACATGTTCAGCCCAAACACGCAGACCTAAACAGGTGGAAGATGTGCTACTGTCCGGACGAGTCTGGCGGTGCAGCGTGCGGCGACAATGGGAACGCAGATTTCGGAGCGACCCCTCCGCACTTCACAATATTGCATCCAGCATCTGGGTCATGGCGCAACACGGCCATGCTCGGGGAAGGATGCTGGATCCAGGGGCGAATACCAAATCTGGCTTACTTTTTCTAACAGCATACTATCTGATGTCCCAGGTGCTGGCCGGGATGCTTGTGGTGCGTGGCCCGAGTCCTTCACAATCCTTCGTATGCGCACCTGGGCATGACTTTGAGCCCTTTGGAGTTCTTGGCAATTACATCAGTGCGGAGGTGTTCTAGCAGGAAATATTTGTTCGCCGTCGTGCTGGAAATGCAAAACCTCTAGTTTGATTCTCTGCTATATCTCTGAGGGCGGAGGAAAGAGTGAGGAGGGAGGAGGGAGGAAGGAAGAGAGGAAGGAGGAAGAACAAAGAGAGAAGTTGAGGCAGGAAGGGAGGGAGGAAGGATAGGCATCAACACGCCTTTTGTCAGCAAAAGTGATCAAGTTCAGTCAGGGAATGCTTGCTTCGTGTCAGCATATGTGTATTTCTCTCTCTCTCTCTATGTATATCCATGCATCTTCGTCACGGAATCTGAAATTAATTAGGTTCCCAACCCTAAGCGGTGGGGGGGATGGGGGTGGGCGTGGGGTGGGGTGTCTCTTGCATTCACAAGATGACACAAGCACGTCAAAGACGTTGCACTCAAAACGTCGAAGCTCACTGACGGCGATGGTCATTGACGTGAAGCTTAGCGGCTGTCTTTTGCGCGCTGCACTTTTTCATTTTATTGCTTAGGGTTCCTCCTTCCTTCCTGTATGTTCCTGTACAATTGTGGTATTGTCAAAGCCTGCGCACACCTACGGTTTCCTGGTTCCATGCAAAAGCAGCACTGGAGCCATGTGGAGCCTTCCCGAAGCCAATTGAGCTCCAAGTTGTTCATGGCACAAGGTTGCGGGCATCGACTGTGTCCTGGACATCCGCGGCACGGAGCTCGCAGCCGAGGACCTGAAGCGGAAGGGGCTGGGAGAAGATGGGGGTGTTTTTGGTCCAGATCTAGATTGACAGCGTCGTTCTGACGCATTCGCAGATTGACGGATTCGCAGATTGATAGGCCAATGCGCGGATTGGCGGATTTCGGCGGATTGGCGAATTCGCGCATGGATTCGCGGCTTCACAGGTTGGCGAACAGATCTGCGGTGCGGAACGATGAGAACGTCCATGCCATCGGCCAGATCATCCATGCCGGCACAATGCAAATGCCCATGGCGCGCTATGTCCGCATGTAAGCCCGTTCATGATACCAGTGCTGCATGCAACGGCCAGAGCGGACTCGCGCATGCGCGGATTGGCGGATTCGCGGATTCGAGGAATGACGGATTAGCGGATGCACACGTGGAATCGCGCACGGATTTGGCAGTTTCACAGATTTTCAGCTTGGCTGACCACGGATTCGTGGCTACTGGCCTCGCATTGGACTTTGGGTGTTGGCAGGACCGAGTTGCGCTGGTGCCGGGCGGTGGGTGGCGCAGCAAGCAGTGAGCAGTTACTTTTGGCACCATGAGGCGGTTCCATGAAATTCCATGCTCATGTCACCCCTGAGGTCCTGTGGCGTCGACGAACGCAGCCCTTTGCTGGCCCAGGACACGTACCGGCAGGCTTCGGGCCATGGCTTCGGGCACTTGTTTGCTTTGTGATGCTTTGTGCATTGCCATGCCATCTCCTTCATCACTGGTCTTCCTGGGATTATTTCTTTCTCCTCCGATGAAGTGCCGTCCCACATTGCTAGTCGAGGAAGAAACACTGCGGATAAAAAAACAGCTTGTTGTTTTGAGTTCCACTGCAAGCAAGGTGGATCCAGATGGCAATCTGTCGCTGGCAGCCGCAGACCTCCCGGTGGGCGGGGAGTGGAGGGTTTGCTACTGCGCCGCAGCTCGGCAAGCACAGCCATCGGCAAAATCCAGCGCTCGAGACATGAGTTCACCCACGCCAAAGCTTTCCAAGGACTTCGGATCTTGTGATGCACTGGATGCAGCTTAGCTTTGTTTGATCACGCCTTGGCAGTCCTCCCCCCCCCATCCGCCGATGGTCATGGTACCTCCTCTGTGCGATAAAAAACATGGTGCCGGAATGATGGACAAGTGATAGACATTGATAGACACCACTTGATAATGACTCGCGGTTCGGTCGTGGCATGTCGTGGCGGCAAAAGCTGGGGATGGAGGCTTTGTTGGCTTCTTTGGCATAGTTGCATTAATGGCATAGTATTGATGCGGAGTCTTGAGGAGTTTGCTGCAGATGCCGGGCTGCTTTCTGTTTACGGCCCCACGGGTGCGCAGGTGCCCTGGCAGGGTTGCTGCCAGAGATCGCTCGTTAGATGACGTATGTCTTAAACATTCTTAAACCATTGCATGGCGTTGCAAGGACTCCACGTGCCGTGCTGGCGTCGCTTGCTCTGTGCCAATCGCTGGCTTCACAGCGCAAGGGCGCAGCTCACAGGCTCCGGATGTTGCTCATGTTTTTGCACGTGGTCCCAGGATGGTAGGGCAAAATCCTTTGGAAAGGATAAAGTGGCCCTCGTCTTGGACGATGACGACTGCGGAAACGAGACGGCCAGCGTGCTGGGCACAGGGTCCGTGGCCTTCAGGCAAGTGGCGAGCGAGTCCCGGCCGAATAGGTGTTGGTGTAGGCGACATGCTATACTTTACACAGTTAATGTTGTCGCCACCAGTTCAAAGACTCGGTGGAGGATTTCCAGCTGGACCTCCTGCCCACCGACATCCCGCTTGGTGGACGCGCCCTCCTCAAGGGGTTAAGTATGCTTAAGCTGACGATTCTGTTGTGCATAAAGCCGCGTGGCTAGAACTCGGGAAAGCTGAGAACAGTGGAAAGCTGATGTGTTAAGACTACAAGCCCGAGAGCTTTGAGGCTGGAAGATGTGCTACTGCCTCGCTACGCCAGTCGGCTTGCAGAACACTGGCAGCTGCGCTTCCTTGGCAGATTTCCGCCCCTGAGCTTTAATGAAGCGCCGTAGCCGTCAGTGTGTGGACAAGCTGAATGAGCCTGTTGAGATAAAGGTATTTCTGCGGGTCTGCTGACGGTGCTGGGCCCAAGCTCGCAGACGCAGGCACATCGGCACATCCCAGTGTCGGGCAGATCGTGTGTGGGAAGCCATGCAGTGGTTTCACTGCAGCAGGCTTTGTCCCTGCTGAGTGGGCTGCGAGTAGGCTTCAGTTGTTGGGGTGGTAGTTCCGATCATTTATATGAACACACACTGCAGTACGGAGCTCGGAACGCGCCCCAGGATTCCGAGTGCCGTGCGGGCGTGCCTTGCGTCCTTGGCGGCTCCCGGGGTTTCCGTGGGGAGCCGGCGAAGCTCGCAGACAAAGTGGTGCCTCGGCTCTGTTCCAGCAGCTGTTCCAGCAGCTTCTCAGCCGATTCCGTCGAAAGACGCCAGCGCATCCAAGCCACAACAATGCAAGCAGTCAATGGCAAAATCAAAAATGCAATCACATTTGCATTCGACAGCCACATATTTCCACTTGTCAAAAGCCAGTCGCTGAGTAGGCCCTGGTGCCGAGCACCGGCACCTGTGGCAGCACCGCGCTCGATGCCAACGTGGGCTTTGGTGACTCGACCTTACGTACACGTCTTTGTGAAGTGTTTATACGTGATGACCACGTTCCATGTTCAGCACCGGAAAGACACGGAGACAACGACGCACATGCGAAGCGAAGAAGTGATTTGCCGTCAAGACGGGTAGACAATTGGCAGTCGGGATGTCTTGAGTGCTCACCTGCTGCAATTCCTTTCTCATCCTCGTGCCCAAAGCATCACCAAAGTCAGGGATGTTACACTTTCTGGGCTCATGTCAAATCTTCTTACTGAGTTGGCTGTGGCTAGTATGTCTTTCTGTCAGTCGCTGTCTCGCTCTCTCGCCCTCTCGCCCTCTCGCACTCTCGCTGTCTCGCTCTCTCACAGTCTCGCTCTCTCGCTCTCTCTCTCTCTCTCTCTCTCTTTCTCTCTCGCTCTCGCTCGCTCTATGCATCATCTTCTAACTAACCCATCCTAGCTGCAACAAAAGCTCAAGAGGTCTTGGTGCAAGGGACACGCAGCGTGGATCTCCAGTAGAGCCAAAGTGTTCGCCACACTATTGCTGCACTTCACTGCGCATGAGCACCCACAAACGACACTTGCTAGAGTGCGTAGCCAGTTCGAGTATGTTCGAGTATGTTCGAGTCATACACTGTCAAAGCTTGGAATCATGACCTGTGAGCTGTCCTTCATCAGGTACTTTGGCCACACGCCCATAGTCAGCCTTACCCTTGGCTAGCAGCCTCGCATCGT